CAGTCGTAGAGGAGAGGGCATCTCGTTTATTGATCAGACATAAATGCCGGGAGGAGGGCTTAATCCCTTTGGCTACAAAGGTATGTGCGGCCCCAAAGGGTAGGGTTTTTCAGTCGTTTTGGTCATAAATAGGGTATCCATTTTGGCCACTTTGGTCATAAATAGGGAATGGTTTTTGCACTTTAGCACTGAACTGGGTATGTTTTTCTTTAGAAGAAGCTACTTTTTCAGGTCATAATTAGGGTAAGGGTTTTGGAAAGTAGGCCGCACACCCCCACCCATTTTTCTGGGAGTACACCTCCGGGCATAAAAGGCCTTAGCATACTTTATTATAACAAACATAGACGGCCCTGGAATAGTTATTAATACAACAAATGTACTAAACAAAACACGGACATTTCACTAAACAAAACTTCCAGAATGAAGAGATCAAAAACGAGGATGCCGTCGAGTGGCAACTCCTAACGGACAAACTCCTTAAATATTCACTTCTTAAAATGATTACGTAGCGTGCATACCAACGAATCTATATGCCGACACACAACTATCTTATAATAACAACGTGAAAAAAATTATTTATCATGGCTGGGCGCTGAGTGACCATAAATGTATCCAAAGGTGAAAAGTCATCAACTTATTCTTAGATATCATATCCACAGAGGACGCACACCAATACAATACCATTTCCTAGCTCTACAAAGGCCTACAGGGTAACGTAAGTTTAACCCAATTCTCTAAACTAACTAGGAAGATCCTTGAATGGCCATCAATAACGAAATGGGCGTAAAACAGGGGAGAGAGGGAGGGAAAGAGAGCAAGAAAAGAAGGAGAGAGGACTTCTTCATCGTGTTTTTCGCCTCCCCTAACCATTCCCGTTGACGCCTGCAACGTAGGCTATGGCGAAATGAAATTATCATTGTGATATGGAATTTCCAAAACCCCACTGAACTAGTCCTTGCAACGTGTCACTTTGTAGTGTTCATTTTTGAGGCCCGGGAGACAGGGCTAAGGGAAAGAAAACGAAAGGTGCGAGCCCACTCTACATTTTCAAACTGCTTACCTATCTATATTAGTGCATGATTTTCGACCGCCTATGTGGTTCTTCACCTTTTTCACCTCTACAATACTATAAGTATTCCCACGTTGCGTTGGAAGAAAAAATAGCACGTTCTTGGAGTCAGAACAAAACGCCAACTTATTGCCCTTCTACTAATTAATGTACAGGCCGAGGTTTCCTTTTTTTGCCAGTGACTACAAACCACATATCAAGTACTTCTGTGTTGGCGTTTTTACTGATGATTCAATAACAATTCACGCAGGGCACTTCCTACAGGTTTTCCCACGTGCTTTCCGGTTCCATGATGGAACTACTTATCCATTGGCTAGTAAAAGCGCTACTCGTGATGTCTTACTAAGAAACTCAGTAACATCTGCCACGAGCAACAATGATGATGCAGTTTTATTGATCAGCTAATAGGTTTACTGATTACTCCTAAGTATGTCCAGGGAAGAAGTGATTGGGATCCAAGGTCTAAGGATTCTAATGAGTTAACTGTTGGCAGTATTCCTTATCGTTTTCCTCCTTTAATTCTTTCCCCGTGAAGAGCCTGCTTGCAGGGTAGTTCTGCTCGTTTGTGAAGAATTAAGTTCTGTGTTTCGCATATTAAAACAGGTACGTCAGCAATTCGAAACACCACGCTGTATTGTTTGTAGTTTCTGGTTTGGCTAGTTGTGTGCCCGGGGGAGCAGATTCCCCAACGTTTTTGGATGGGGTGTGCGGCACATTTCTTACGCGCTACACACAAATTACTTGAGAACTTGAAACATGTAACCTATTTCAGACCAAATTCTGTGATATCACACACCCTATTTCAGACCTGAGCCAAAAATCGATACCCCATTTCAGACCTCTGAAATTAGTGATGACTGCAGCTAACCAGAAATGGCTTCCATTTGCGTAAAATTTGAGAAGGGCTACAAATATGCAAATGTCGATGCGCTAAAAAGTTAGTTCCTTGTAAACAAAATACCCAGTGCCAAGCTAGCGTAGAAAACATACCCCATGTCAGAGCAAAATGGTCAAAATCTATACCCTTTTTCAGACCAAAATCGCTCTAAAACCAGGCTTCAAGGCCACATATACCTATATAGCCCATATATACGGGAGTAGCCCCGGAATTTTGTGCCCTTTCATTGTTATTATCTCTGCCGGTGTACCAACTAACAGCTTATGCTTTATCGGAATTTCACTCGGGACACTTTTGTCAAAGCTTTTTTTGCATAGCAACACCGAAAACCGGCTGCGTAACAGGATTAGTCCCGAAGTATTGCACGATGATAGAACTAATCTGTTTAACAGCCGGGTCAGAGGGTGTAAAACACGCCTCCGTATCACGCCTGCACCACGTTTTGTAAATTAAGTGTATCAAAAATAGCTGAAAATAACATTAACAAAAATTCCTTCGGTTGATGAATCCTTTCATGGTCAAAGATTTGAAGAGTTTGATCGGCTGTAGCTCACACGTAAAAAGCATTTCGATCACTGGGGCTTAGAATTCCAATGATTGTACTCAGAGCAACAGGTAATATGCTTTTAATGAACAGTTTTTTAGGGAATCTCCTGGGGGTCTAGGAACGGCGCGTGCTGAAAAACGATATGCGATGACTCATTATTTTCCTATGTACGTGGAAAACAACTGTTGACGGACTCGTGACGACCTGTGTAACCTGTATTTTGATCTATTTTCGCTCAATCTGAAAGGAAAACAAAAACTTGTCTGACGCGAATGATTTAATCCGTAAGAGACAAACTGAGGCGACCAGCAAACATTACAACAACTTTATCCGTGCCACTATTTATTTTGCTGTCTTTCGTTTTGCATTGTCTCAAGGTGAAGCAAAAGAATTAGAAGAAGTATGTGCGCAGGCTATTTATTTCATCTCAAAAATCCCTTCCTTCCTGTGGTAGGAATTACATCGGAATGTAACAAAGAAACGTGCCAACATTTTCGAGTCTGAACGATCTAGCATAACATCAGCCAAGATCAGTTTTCAACAGTGCTCCACGTTCCCACGTTATGAGGCTTAAATAACGGATGTAACACGCGTTTGGGTCTGATATGATACAGTGAAAAAGGCAATTAATCGTATAACACCTACGTATCCCATTGTTTCTAGACAATTCTACAGGATATGACGATCTCAAGTAACAGTCATAAAAGAAATGATATAAAAAGGACGCTCGTACTTACGCAATTTAGTCTTGGAAGATCTTCGAAGGCAACACTATGAAAAGCGTCGTGATAGCTTTGTTGTTGGTCGCCATCTTGCTGTTCGTTGCAGCTGAAGCGAAAAAGCGAGGAGGTAAAGGAAAACCCGGAGGTCGGAGACCATGGCAAAAGAATGTCAAGGGTGAGTTTTGTAGCAGTGTTTAAAATCGCCAATCTGTTTTATTCGCAAGTCTTGCGGGGGTTTGAAGCTTTTACTTCATATAAATTATTCAAGAAAGCGATTTTTCTCGTTACGTTTAGAATGCCCAAGAAATTGTTCAGACTGTGAAGAAGGGATTTGCCGAGAGTGTGATGACGATTTTGCGCTGAAAACGTTCAGCTCTCGTCGTTTTAATAAAACCGTCTGCTTGCCTTGTGGACGGCGACTAAAGATGAAGTATCCTGCCCTTTTTCTTCAACAATGCGTCACTGGTAAGTATCAATCATCTTACATTAAGTGTGAAATTCTGATGGTCAATAATCAAGGCTGATCAATCGTCAAAACTCCCCAGAGTCACCAAAGGGTTGAAGTCCTCTTTCGTCTATCACGGACTCGCCTGCCACGTATCACGTGTTCCATGCATCGAGACCAACAAATTGCACTCCCACCCCCCTGATGTAAAATTACAGTGCTTCGAGAGAAAGCTAAATCAAGCGGCAACCTGAGCCGGATTTCATGTGGGTCCTCTATCCTGGTCGAGTTAGAATTTGGAGTGTTAGTTTTTGTGGAGGCAGGAAATCCGAGAACCCAGAATTAAACCCTCGGAACAAGGCGAGAACCAACAACAAATTCATTCACTATTCAAATATGGCACTGGGCCGGAATCGAACCCGGGCCACACATATCAACTTATGTGACTGCATGGCTACCTCGTTACAACCCCACGGTACCCGTCCCACACCAGGCTGCAAAACACTCCTCCACCAGTCCTCGTCCCCTCTTTACCCCGCGGGCGGGGGAGGGGGCGGCACTGCCATATATGGGTTATATAGGTGCCGTTGTGAAGGGTATCGTTTTCAAGCAGTTTCCTCTAGGATAGGGTATACAAATCAGAGCGTTTGGGTCTAGAATAGGGTATCATTTTTCACAAAACTGACTGGTTGGTTGAAGATTTTATCTAGACTAAGGAACCCAGGAATTGCCACTCAAAAATATAAAAAAATCAAATCGGCAAGTTTAAATTTACGCAAATCAGCCTCAACAGTGTCGATAGATGGGAGGATTTGGGGAGTTTACTCTAGTATAGGTTAGCAAAATTCAGCTGAACTAGCTATAGTATAGGCTAAGGGTTCCATGGTCCCAGTGGCACATCCCTACCCAGAAATTCCCAAAGTACCCCCCCGGCTCTTTACCCGCTGCTCACTTTCTTTTAATTACGGTTCTCTTTAGAGTGTTCCAAAAACTGTTCGTCCTGCGGCGACAACGGAAGCTGTGAAAAATGCGATGATGGTTTCTTCAAAGTTCAAACTCGACTTCTACAAAGAACGATATGTGTTCCTTGCAGTGGGAAAATGAAAAAGAAGTGGCCGGAAGTTTACAAGACAGAGTGCAGACTAGATGGTAACAATCTATATATGTTTTGCTGCTTTTGTAATGAGCGGTTTTAAAACAACTTAGGACAAGATCTTGAATGCTTTACCTTCGCCTATCGGAGGCAGCGAAGCTTGGCTGCGCGGTTTTCTCAAGGTTAACGCTTTTAAGCCTTCCATCTGATGGCTCGCATAGAAAAGATAATCACATCACGCGAGTTTCTTTATTAATATAATAAAATAGATAACTTAATGAAATAATGAAATAATATCTATCTTGTTTAGAACATCCAGTGTTCCACAGTGTTATGACCCCGGTTCAACTGTAGAAAATGTCGCTTGAAAGAATTCAGTGTTATTTATCATCAGTCATTTAAATTAATATATCTGATTGAAATTTTAATCCGCCCAGACCAAGTTTTTTCACGTGAGTGGAAAGAGAACTGTCTCAGAACTGTATAAGAGCTTGTGTTCATGTCTTGTTGCAGCTTGTGGTCGAAACTGTACCAACTGTTCTATGGATGGCGTCTGCACCGAGTGTGAAGGAGATCTGAAGCTTTTTGCACCATCCGGCAGTCACTTCACCAAGTGTATAAAAAAATGTCCCCTATTTCATAAGCTCGAGAAGGGGTCGTCACCAGCAAGATGCGAGGTCAAGCAAGGAAAAAAACCCGCGAAAACCGGTAAGTACTGCTCTGATTCAACGCGGTAAGAAACTTGGGTAAATCAATATTGGGTCATCAAAGTTGTCGCGATGATATTAAATTATGCGCCAGCGATGCAGACGACTTATGACATTTTAAATTGCACTTTGGGCTTTGTTACAATGTGAACTGAACTGGAATACCTGCAAAAGATATTCAACGAAGCAGATTCGCACTAAAAGCAACCAACGCCAGGAGACTTAAAAAAGCTTTCCACAGGGGTCCACTGAAAAGTGTCTTAATATACCTTGCCCGGGTTTTTCGAAACACTGTACAGCGGATAGCGGAGTTTGTTTTGTTAACACTTTAGCAATCCTTTAACAAATTGACGTCAGTTTTTCATGCATCTGTCCTGTTATTGATCGTGAATTCAGTCACTGATAACATTGTCAAATCGCAGACTACTTTGTCAATGTTATGACGAAATTCAATGTTAATAAAAGGACAGACGCATTAAAAACTGACGTCAATTTGTTTTTTTACGATAACAAATTGTCAAATTGTCCGCTCTCGCTCGTTGACGCATCACATAAATTATACATTCACGTGTCCAACCGCTTATTGACAATGGAAATTAGCCAATGAGCGCGCGAGAATTTTTGCAGTTATCGTAAAATGTCCACTGGACCGCGATTTATCCGGTGCATTGCGTTATCCAGCCTTCGAACAACCGGGGCCTGGAATGTAAGTGGGTAGGCCAGTTTTGATTCTTGTTCAATGTTTTAATTTCAGCTCTTTCTTATCTTGCAGAATGTCAAAAAATGTGCGCTGAATGCACCGAAACAGGCGTTTGTATAAAATGCAAGGAGGGCCTAGTTCTAGTAAAACTGGGGAACCTCTCAGCCTGCAAGAACAGATGCCCATTTCCGTTAAAAAACGCCAAAATCTGTGAGAAGCGCAGTAGAAAATTGCGAAAAGGTCAGTTCTGTACTTAAAGTTTGTAATGCTTAACAAACTGCTGTTCATTACCCTAATACTGTTTAACTGTCACATGCAAGTGTGGGAACCCTCTGTATTTTTTCTTACAAGATGGCATAATTAAGGGGAAAAGGATTAGAAAGGAAGGAAAAGGCCACTGTTCCTTTCTTCTGTCCATCACTCCTGAGAGTGTTTGTGGGATGCTCAGTTCAAATGGGTAACCCAGCCTAGCCACTTTCTGGGTGAGTCTGTGACTATAGTTTCAAACAGGCGATCCCAAACTGGGCCAAATCCTTCAAGGAAATTTTCAAAGAAACCGATATTATCTTCATGGAATTGCACCGTTTGACGGATTACTAACGTGCTCTCTGTTGTGATATTAATTGTTAATTGATTTTTGTGATAACTTCAATTTACACTGTTCTTCTTCTTTTTAATCAACAGGAGGAAAGATGAATGTGTCCGCTGATCTGCCCTAAATGAAGAAGTTTTGGAAAGGGCTGTAACTGAAGATAGCACTTAATATAGGAAATCGTTTTTGGTGTATTTCGTCTCGTATTTCAGTGTTTCTTTATTATTATTAATATTATTATTATTATTATCATCATCATAATCATCATCATCATCATCATCTCTCATCTTTTTTTATTTTCTTTTAGTCATTGATTCAGCCGGTTTAGAAATCAATTTTTCGTTAGAGTTGTGCTGATATTTTGTGCCTGGTAATACAAGTGCCTAAATGCAGAAATAAGGAAATCAGTTAATGCTAAATCGATTCCGTGACTGCAATTGCAGTATAGTTAATTTAGAACAAGAGAGAAAAGAGAGAAGGACCGATGACTGTCTATTGTACTCTAAAGAAAACAAAAACGAATAATGGGGTCTTTGGCATATATTCTAGTAATACCATTAAGGTTAAACGGGCTCAGTCACGGTATTTTGAGTTATTTTGGCCATGTACAAAATTACCTTTCAATGGTAGGAAACCTGAAAATAACAGTTTAACAAGATAGAAAAACACCAAAGAGATAATGATAAACCATAAAGGAACAATGATGGCCAAGGATGGAGAAGATTAAAAAATTGAGGCTAAACTTTTCAATATGCGCAAACCGTGACTGACCCCCTTTAAGCCTCCAGCAGGCTTTTCAAAAAGCAAATTACAAGGGATATGTACTTTCTTGTTACTTCTAAATTTCAATCATTTATAGCGCTCTGTCAGCCAGATGAGCAAAACTTATATATGAAAAAATAAACATTAAAATAAAAAAAAATGGGTGACCTGTCTTACGCATATGTTGACTTGTGTTTGTTTAATGGTATGTGGATGTGTAAATCTTTTCAATAAATATTCTTAGACCTGAATTGTTTCATTGATGGTGGTATAAGATATTATTCTTAGACCTGAATTGTTTCATTAATGGTGATATAAGATATTATTCTTAGACCTGAATTGTTTCATTGATGGTGGTATAAGATATATACCTGGTATAAGTCCGAGTCTGAAAATTGGACATTGACAAAAAATGTACCTACCAAATGATTAACACAGTGTCTTGAATAAGCCTTTTGAATAAGCTTGCTTACAACACAAGAAGTAATAACACCTCCAGTGATCTCTGTTGTTGCACAGTATTATTGTTCCTTGAAATTTCAACTTCAACTTCTTTATTATTGCACACTATTCAGAGTTAATTTACATCAGTATTATAAAATAAATAGAAAAAAAGAAATATTCGTTACATATGGCTATGGAGAGAATAAAAAAAATATGTGCAATATTCATTACATATGGCTAGGGAGAGAATGAAAAAAAAAAAAATACATGCATTTAAAAAGAGAGAAGTCATTGTTTTCAAGCTGGTTACCACCATGTTAACAGGGGTTTAACTAGCTTAGGGCTGGCCACTGGGCAAATTGACCAGCTGTGAGGATGATTTTGCCTTCCTGGTTTGACCATGTAGACGAAAGTTTTCCTTATAAAGAAGTTCAGTTCAAAAAGTTTTGCCTGCCTGTTAAATCCAACTGTCCAATTTACATAGCTACAAATGACTACGAGTGAAAAGTCCATTCAGTTTGGATAAAGGTGTAACTTGTGACAAAAGAAACCAATAGCAATTTTGTGATGATGTGCTTTTGCGAGAGTCTTCGACAGACAAAGATCTCATGAGTTCATTCACACTCAACTGGACTTTCGTAATGATTTAATTCTTAAAAAGAATGCCAAAACACCCGCTGCATTTATTGGGCAATCTGTGACGTTCAAGTTTAATCTGCTCATCAGCTTGAGTCCATGGAACATTTAATTTAGCCTGTGAAACTTGTAGACGCGCAGTAACTGCGAGAGGAACACTAAATATCGATGAGATACTTTCTGTAACAAAAGGGCGTGACAGATAAAGATTGCGTGACGAGTTCCCCCGATCAGCCATTGCAACTTATATACAGATCCTTTGAAGGAATCAGAATGCCAGCTCCTAAATTGAAAGGTTGCATCATCCTTCCACCGTTCGAATCTCATTTAGGTCCTATGCCCCTTCACTATCCAGCATCACAGCACCATGGAGAAGAGGAATGCGTGACAGTTTTGTTGGGGGTAAATGCAGACTTGACACAACATCACCACGAAACGTCCCCTGAACGAGGTGAAAGATATAAAAATGAACAGTACTGAATCACTTGTAATGCATCCGTGATCACGTGCAGAGACGGGCAGTTCGGAATAGATTCATAAGATCTTTGGAAAATGCATATGCAAACCTCGGCACTTGGCACACAAGCATTAATCTAAGAACTAGCTAGAACTAGGGTCTCGACCTTGGCGAAATCCTTAAATTCATGTCTACTCGCCATAGCGCCTGAAAAACGATCCAATAGTTCGTCAAAGTTTAGTTCCAAAATTCTGAAACTTCCGATGTTCCAATAGTTAGAATTGCAACTTGCAATGCATGAGGAGATGGACAAAATGGACATGATGACTGATGGAATTGCCTAATGCACTCCCTAATGCGGCTATCACTGTGGAAATACCATTCTGTGAACTTTCAGAAGATTCCTTCACGCCATTCGCTGAAGTCATAAGATTTTAACGGGATTCTTCTCTTCGAATAAACGAGGCCTGGTGTGATCGCTGTTCAGCACCCGATTAGGCGTTCGCTCCAGTGTTGTTTTGATGTCTTTAAGCGGCTGTCTTGTACAGATTATAGTGACGATCCACAATGTAACGAATAGGAAAAACAAAACGGCAGAGATATCAATCGCTGTGGCTAAATCGAGACCAGACATGATTCGTAAATTTCGCATACCGTAAGTTTACTGTACACACTCACAATAGGAGCGGTTGCAAAGTCGTTTCTTGATTACGTGACTTGATTAACCAATGTTGAATTATGGCAAACTGAGTTTTTGTTCGATATCTTTTCAGTCTTATTTTATTTTCATGCAGAAACGTGGGAAAAATGATAACACCTTTTTCATAAAAAAAAATTTAACGTTACATTTAAGAGTAATTTCGGGGAAAAACTATCAGCAAATATTGACATCAACATCAGCGAGGAAATGAGACTTGTCACGTACATAAATATTGCTATGTCATGTTAACGGGTCAGTGATCAGGCCTTGAGCGCTTCGAATGTAGCCCTATGTGCTATATTTTACTAGTGAAATAAGCTGATGATCGTTATCCCGACCTAAGCTGCAGTATATGGACTGAATTTTTTCCAATTAAGATGGCATTCTGCCATGGAGGAACAAGAACAACCGAGATCTCTGCGAAGGAAATTAATGCGCAACAGTTTATTCATTTTCATTGGCTTTATTTTCATCATCGTGTGTTTCGTTTTCCTGGGAATCGCGCAACAACAACAACATGTAACTGAGGAGTACTGTGGGGATTGCCATGGATCGAATAAACCAAGAGTGTTTCGACTTCTCGCCGCGATATGTTTCGTATTTGGGTTTACTCTGATGACCGTGTTCTGGTGGCATGTGAAAGCCATAAGAAGTGCTTATGTACTGCGCCAAAGACGCTTGGAATTGGAAAGACTGATAGGGAACAACAATCACCGCAGAGTTAGGAGAGCATATACAGTGTCACTTGGATTGAGAAATAGTGGTTGATATGGTATGGTTGACATCTGCCCCACTTCAAACTTGCCAATTCAAGACATTACTAGTTCGTGTAGTCTGTCAATCCGTGTGCATGGCCAGAGGAATTTTCAAACAAGGTTTCTGTGTGATATGCCTGAAATGATTTTTGAGCACTTCAGATAAAACGTTCCCGTCGGATCAGGCTTGGGTAAATGGTATTTTAGCTTATTTGGAGGATTGTTACATAAGCGCGAGCGTTGGAGGCTCTGACCTAAACCGTACTAGACCCTAATCTTTATATTCGAGGACGTCGCGCGAAAATCTTCTGATGTGTAGATTTTTCAAACCTTTACTGCAGTCATGATAGTGTCATGAGCTTCTTGTGTGAGGAAGAACGCTAAATCAACGAAAATTTGACGCAATGATAGTCAAACACTTCCTTGGGAAGAGAGTGGACCCTGGGAACGAATCTGACAACAAGCAAAAGTGCTCATCGAGCGGAATGGAAAATGTTTTGATTGATTAATTAAAAAAGGGCGAGATACTCGCAGATATAGATGGTCACTTTTTCCACCCTGAAGACCCCTGTCACCGACGATCATGCCCTCCTTCCCTCAATCAATGAGTTCTTATTTATGCCTCTTTCCGAAAAAAAAATAAAACAAATTAACGCCCAACCTCATCCCCCGGGCGCATTTCCCTTCAATTTTGAAGGGAAAACCCGACCTCTCCCCCGCCCCTCCCCTTTTCAAGAAAATCAGGGCTTAAAAATTTCGAGTTCATCTTGTCAACATGTGTCTTGATTCGTAGGCCTTGCTGCCAGCCTTACGATCAATTCGCTCATTTAATTTACCTTTCAAGTGACCTGCATGGAGCAGGTGCATTTCGAAACAAGAGATCCGGCAACAACCAAGCGATGGTCAGCTGCTTTTCAAGTTTTACCTCGGTTATAATTACAGTCAAATAAAGAAGGTAAATCGCCCATTTTCAGAATTTCAAAAAGTAATTATTAACCACAACATGCTTTTAAATTAAAAGACTACTGCAAAGGACAACAGCAGCTTATACATTTAGGGGAAACAGGTGGAGGGGGGACTGGGGCCGGCGGGAGTATGTAGCTTACTTCTGCACCACACTCCAGGCCTTGGACTTCGAAGAACCTAGCCTGGATTATAGCATGCTAACCTGAGAAATTTTGAATTAATTTATTTTGTTTTCGTACAACTCGTGATAAAATAAAATCTTGACCTTACGGATCGCTAAAAATATACGGTACGGGCTGCTCACGCGAGCACGCGCGAATCTCGCGCGATTATCATGTTCACCGCCGGTCAAGCGAGAAATGAAATAAACACGTTTAAGATTTCACTCCGACACGCCAGACAGGCCTTTGATTATTACCACATTCTCGTGCTTTCCATAATTTGCCATCGCCTTTTGTGTGCTAAAGTTATCATTTTCTAGCGACCAGTTTTCAAGCTAACTGAATGGGATCGTTCCGATGATTTCCTAAAATACTTCTACAGACGATCAAAACATCTTTCGTGGATGTATGGAAATTCATGATCAGTGTAAATTATCAACGAGAAGCGATCGACCGCAGAAGTAGCGTGGACATTTCATCTTCAAAATGATTTTGGCGGATGACGCACTGGCCATCTATATTTCTGCCGGCTTGGCTGGATTTCTTGTAGTTTTGTGGTGCTGTGCTGTGATCGTATGTAAAGGGCCGTGCCGATCGTTTGGTGAACCAGTGAAATCGCCATTTGACATGTACATGGATCCAGCCTCGAGAAACACGGCTTTACGAAACAAGTACGATGTGTACCAGTATCATCTAATGGTGAGTCACGAATCTTGGTTATTTCCTCGCTTAATCATTACCCCTTAAACATATACGACTTTTCAGCAAAGCACGTTCACCCACGGTCATACACTTAATATCAAAAAAAAAATTAGCCTGTGTCACAGCCGCCTCGTGTGATGTACATTTCACGCTAATAGACTCTCTGTCGATCTGATAACATTTCGCATTTTTCGTTCAACGTGTTATTTTAGACGGTATTTTCAGACAAGAAAATGCAAATTTTTGGTGATCAAGAGAAGGCGCTGTCAAATTTTTCCGCAAGAAACTCTGAAAGCAATAATCACAAAACGTTACCAAAAGAGGAAGAAAGACGTTTGAAAATGCAACCGTTAAAGTGTATATTATATCTAAGATGTTCCCGGAAACCGTTTACGTTTTTACAGACCATTCAGTTTATATTGCAACACAAGCGTAACATCGCTCGAAAGATTGTTGCCATTTGAATGCAAATTAGCTATATAGGGAGCAGAAGGGCTTGTCAACTGTTTGCTCAATGCAGTGGAGTTCAATAAGAAATGCCTTTAAAAAAAGCCAAGTTGATCCTGATTTTAGAAGTTACGTTCTTAATTTTGGAGCATTTTGTTACGTCTGTAAAAAGTCAACTCATAATATTATAATTAATAACTATATTTAAGATTGGCGTTTTTACTCCAAAAAACAATAAAACCTGAAGATTCATAAAATTCTAGCCTGTGAACACAGACGGATTTCCGGCTATCATGTTAGCAGGTTATAAATGGAAATCAGTATATCATCTCGTTTTCTTGCGTGATAATCATACATCTGGTCTGGGTGTCATAATGAAAATTTACTTGGAATACATGTTTACATTTTGTTACTCATGCAATGTTTTTCGCCGCTGATTAGCCCAGACCCCACCTTTTCACCCAATTTCCATCGATTTTCAAGAAACGGTATGTTTAATGTTCCCATTTTCGAACATTTTCAGTAATCGAACTACACTACATGTATGTCTGATCTCTGGACCCTTTGATCAGTTTTGCTTTCTATTTATGGAAAGAACACGTAAACAAGTAATGCTGTTTTACACGATAATTAGTAGGCTTTATGATAGAAACATGTAGATCCGTGAAGTGAAATGTATACAGACGCAATATTATAATATGACTCCTATTTCATGGGTCTCATGACATATGGGAAACACAGAAACAGTCTGCTTATTCTTTTTCTCTAACGACAGCGGGCCGGCGACATTAATATTGGGTCATAAAGCCCTACAAGTGCTGTGGCTTGAAAACCAAACAAACAAACAAACAAACAAACAATAAAACAAATAAACAATCAAACCCTAATTGGGTTATTAACTGTAATTCAGTCCCAGCGGGAGAGAAATCCTAGTGACTGATGTTCTTGAAATACCTTTGACACACACACATGGCAGATCAGAGTTTAAAGTTAAGAAATCCTTCACATCTCCGTGATTCTCGGTTATCCAACCAGGTGCATTTTCTGTTCGTCTGTGTTGTGGCATGGGGATTGCATGGGGAGTATCACGTGAGGAATTGTTATTCATTTATTTCTATCAAGATGTTTGGTCACGATCCTTTTCATACGTAATAGATGGGCAGGGAGGGAGGGAGGGGGGCATGTGATAATGTCTGACTTCTGCTTGGCTCAGGCGACAAGCGTACACTTTTTACAACGAAAATAAATTCGCCTTCGTCACGCAATGCGAGTGAGATGAAAAAGATGTTGGGACATGTTTAGTCTAGCGGCAGTCTGTGGTTTCCTCGGGAAGTCAGGGAATATAAGGGAGACACTTTTAACTTAAAAGGGATTGGGACGAGACGAGGGCGCGGCACCCACCTTTGGTCCATACCACTCTCCACGTAATTACTCGTTGGACCCTAAGAGAAAAGATCGGCTGCCAGCAGTCTATATTTAGTCCAACTGTATACCATGTCACTTTTCTCTTCAGACACCAAGAACACCAATTGAACGCCACAAAGTACAGGTGCCCACACCGCCGGCAGCGCCAAGTGTACCAGCCACTCCATTCGACTTCGGAGCTGTGTTGAGAATGCAAGCCGAGGAGAGAGCACGATCTCAAGGAAGAGATCGTCTTGCTGAAGATCCTCTTTTAAAGAAAGAACAAGGAGATTCTTCAAGCGATACAACGAACGACGTGGAACCCAGGAGAGTGAACAGGATTACGGTGGATATAGAAAGCAGAGACGAACAAACTGACCAACCTCTAATACAAGACAGTAGTGTGTAGACCTTAACACTGATCATCTAGGAGGGCATGACGCCGGCGACTGACCGCTGTAGGAGATTTTTTTGTTAGATGCTTGCAGTCAAGTATTAAAATTTGCGCCGGCAATGAAACTGAAATGAAAGGCAAAGTTTCGCGAGGAAAAGCAAGAGAGAGCAGACTGCTCAGTTTAAAATTGAATAATTTGGACGTGTTTCAACACTGAAAACGACCATTTGTTTCACAAACCTTTCGCTTCCCACTGTAGATGAATAAAACAAGGACTGAAAATTACCTAACACCAGCTAACAGCCTTTTGGATTCCTCAAGTTAATAAGAACTTTCATTCATACTGTGTACAAAGTAATAGGGTCAAAACTAGAATCACCATAACACTTTAGTATATGTTCCGTACTGCTTATTCAACCCCAGAACCTAGTCATAATAAAATACCGAGTGGAGACCAAAAGTTTATGTATTTGGTTGTATTTGGTTTGGAAAACGTGGACGGTGATGCTACAACTCTAGCCTTAATAACACGCTAAGCATCAATGGTGTATTGCGAATGACTTAAACCCCTTGCAAAGTTCAGTAACACGTTGAAACAAGTTTCCACACACCGAGACATACAAAACGCGCTCTTTAACCAGGCAGGCGTTGACACGGTGACCAAAAGAACTATTAAAACAAGCCAGCAGTACAAACAAGGTGCAAAAGAGTTAGCATGTCAAAAGGTTGTCCACTTTGTTTCAGTGTATCTTAAGCCATACCTTTCCCCTCAAAAAAGTACAATGGGACAACGTTTATTTGGGGTGCCTTGCTCTCAAGCCAAACTTTGGAAAGATCTTAAAAGCCTTGAGACAAACTCAACTATGGGTGTAGTGTATGCAAACATTGAAGATATCGGCGAAACACGGAAGAATCTTTTGGAAGGGGGATTTGAGGGAGAACGGCTAACTGGGCGGAAATCTAAATATATCACCTTCTTTCCACTCCGTTCTCAAGAGGAAAACCCTGGGCTTTCTTTACCCACAATGGTGTTGAGGGTGTTGGGCCAAACATGTAAGATATAGAATCCTAGCCCTTTAATACTAATACAATGTGTGACATGCTCGAAAAGATGCCTGGTCTGTCACTATATATAAGTGAGCTAAAACGTCTCAAGTCTATACTCTAAATTTACTGCACACTCTTTTCGCGAGAAACATTCAAGAAACTGAGTGATTTCAAACAGGTACGCTCCTCGTGTTTTAGCGGGAGCGCCTGGTTTATCGAAACATGCAATTAAGGCCTGCAGCAGTGGGTGCATTCGTTTGACATCCATTTATTGGTGGAACGGATTGTGAACCACGGGTTGGCGTTGCGTAGTTTTTAAAATTGGAATTTGCAATCTGGCACACTTACGTCGCACACATTACGAGTAAGTCATATGTTATTCCGAGTTGAATTGTCGCGTTTCGTTAGGTTCGTGCTGCTGAAAGAATAATACGTGGCTTTTCTATCCTCGACGTGCCGATAGGTGACACTCGTGAACCATACTTTGAGTGTCAAGAGAGAAGTGAACCACACCCGTCCGAGGAAGTCGTAAATGTTTCAAATCCTGTTTTGTGATGTTTCGTCAACATAACCCGAACCTAGACCTTTCCGGACTGACAGCCTGTTTCGAAGTGTGCACGTCTCTGGTATAGTGTAAATACGGAGCCTGTCTAGCTATGAGCTCTTCAGTTATCAGGATCTGCGAGTCTTATAAGCAGTTCAAGTCCCTTTGGGCGGGCAGTAAGCAATGGAACTGCTTTAACTGTACACCCAGGAACCTCGCTGAAAGAGAAGGTCTTCAACAAATTTGCCAACATCACTTTCATTTCCATCTTAGCAAACTTATTACCGATACACATGCGCGGGCCAACCCCAAATGGAAAGTAGGAGTAAGGCTGTACACTTGATCGGCCATCTACAAAATGATGAGAAAGTAAAATAATTATTAGTTTTCGTGTTTGGAATGCATCTACATATCTAGGATCCATTGCGCATCGTTGGTCTCTGTTTCTGTTTAGTCTCCTGCCATATTACTCCCCTACCTCCACATAACGGCTACCTCTACACAAAGGCCACTTTCCACTGTCCGCAACTCAGGTAAGCAAACAATTTATCAAACTCTACTGATGCCCACGTAAGTCTCTCTTAAGGCACCCTCGAACACTGTCTAATCAAGAAGTCTGTTTGGAACGGTATTATAAATCTGTAAGAGTTAGGCAAGTTCATGTGTCCTTAGAAACACTCCCTCCTACTTATAATACTTCATGACCTACAAGTAATTTCTGTAAATAGCTCCATTCATCCATACAACATACAACACACCTTCACTGGAACAAGCGCTGAAGTGTTCTAGCTCATCTCTATCCGGGGGGAGACTCCCATACAAAAAGGACGGCGGTGCTCGTTGGAAATTTTGAAAAGAACCCCTAAGAGGTGCCAAGATCCTGTTTTGTGGGCGTGGCTTGAAATTTTTGTCTCCGCTACGAAGTACCAATTCTTACATAAGACATTTTATTATATGGAGAAGAGTGTTTTACTGGGAACTAAACCACTCGTAGATTCCATACG